AGCAAAGATTGGTTGATAAATTTGAACGGGCTGCCATGAAAATTTTTGAAATTTTTTACTATTGCAGTTCACAATATAAATGCCGTCAACAGCTAATTTGGCAATATCAAGCATGGCTAAATGAAACAAATCTACATGTATGTGAAATAAGTAATAATTGTATTAATCAAATTGCTCACAAACTAAAATTACTTGATGGTAAAGAAGAGATTAAAAAATTATTAGAAGTGATAAAATACCTTACACAAGAAAGAGAGGAACAAATTTATCCAGATGATGTAGTAGACGTGTTTAAAACTAGTAAAACTGCAAAAATAAAGCAAAAAAATGGGATAATTTGCTGGTATATCCAACTGAAAAAAGAAAGATATTAAAAACGAAAGAATTGGTTCAGTTTGCTTTGATAGATTTTGTAGTTTGTGAACTAGTTCAAGAAAAAATCATATTGCGAAAAATATTTGAAGGTAGTAAAATTTTATCCAGCAATATTATTATAACAGGTGTAGCATCCGGTGTACAAGTAAATGCTAATATGCAAACATGATGCTATTTTATCAAATAAAGCATTTATAATTTCATAATTTCGGCAGAAATTATAGTAAATTTGTTATTATTACACAAAAATAAACAAAAAAAATTGTCACATGCATTATATTAAAATGATCAATGTTGACTTTATCCTTAAAGTTTAACGAAGGCGAGTTTATTTGATTTAAATAATCCTTGCCAATTTTCGTTAAGCTTGGCAATGGGGATTTATTCAAAGCACTATAGTTGTTGAAGAACTTTATAATTTTATCACCAATCTTATTAGAGATATTACCCTCTATTACCAGCTTCATAAAGTTGCGGTACGTATTGTTTAGATAATTTGCGATATGTTCTGCTTGTTTTTTCCTTCAATAATATCCAAAGTATCATCTATTAATGCTTCCTGAAGATCTTCAGAGTCAATATCATGATTTAGGTCCACTTGTAAGTTCATTTCCATCTCTTCAACATTTTCTTCTATGTTCTCTTTGCTTTCTGATTCTACTTGACTTCGTAAGTCATACCGTTATTCGCTTTTGTGTAGTGTAAAGTTTTCTGCAAAGGAAGATTCTGATGGTCTTATAATCAATGTTTTTCACAAGCTCGAATCATATCTTGTAATTGGCGTATTATTCTACAAGCTCAAATCGTGCTTTGGAATTTATATTGATTGCTCTGATTGTGACGTTTGAAAAAGAGACATTTTTCCATGATGCATGGTATTAACATGTCGTATCAATCCACTTTGTGTTGTAAAATCTCCTTTACAAATTCTGCAATGAATTTCATCCATTATGTGAAATATATTTGACTGCAAATCAACAAAATTTTCGGTATTATGGTTTAAGTAATTGAATTTGATTAATTAATTTTCAAGATGAATTAAAAAATAATAAAAGAATTTTTCGTTTAATTAATTTCAGATGATTTAACCGACTAATTTTCTTCAAAGTATTTTAATCAATACTTATCAGGTGAATCAATCAGTTTTTTAATCCTTATCAGGTGAATCAATCAATTTTTTAACTTTAATCCAGTGATGTCAAATTATAAGGTCTTTTGACTTGAAATTTATAATAATAATAAGGTCATTTGAGGTCATTTGAGGTCATTTTAAGGTCATTTCAAGGTCTTTTGCCAACTCTGCTTTAATCAATACTTGTCAGGCGGACTAATTAATATTATTTCATCAATTTTATCGATAATTTAACTGATCTTTCTCGAAGTTTTAATATTTTTTTAATGATACTTTTTTATTTTGTAACAATTTCTTCGATTATTTTCAATATTAACAATTGAATATGATTACTAGAAAATCAAAAAATAAGACTGTAAATAAGTTTTCGTAATTGTTGTCTCTAGGTAAATAATCAATAATTTTTGATGTATTTATTTATTTATTTATTTAATTCGTTTGATTTTCTACATTTTTAAAAGGATCAAAATTGGCCAATAATGTCGAAGAAACAGTTCAAAGAACTTCATATGACAGACCACTCAGACAAACGCCTTTGGCTTCTGTTGCTATTGCAGAGAAGGATCAAAAAATTCAACCTAGAAAATCAGTTGAATTGCTAAATGAAGATGTAGAAATAGAGCGTAGAAGATCAGATGAAACTTTAGGCTCTTGAAATAATGAAACAGAAACAGAACAAGGTTCTTCACAAAGAAAATCAATGGAACTTGACGATTATGACTGCGAAGGATATGGTTATGATGATTTTGGCAATGATAAGTTAGAAGAAACTAGGGTTCATATATCACCGCACAGATCGACGCAATCTATTATAAGAAAAGCGTATCCAATAGATAACTCATGAAAGAAGATTTTGATTATATGATAAACATATTGAATTATAAAATTGATTCAATTTATAAGCTTACTAGATACATTGGTAACAAACAAAGCGAAATGAGTAAAGATATAAAAAAACTCATTATACTCAATGAGCTCTCCGAGGATTTTTAGAATGTTAGTAATTCAATACATTTTGCAGTTCTGTTTGATCTTTATTATACTTATTAAGATTTTGATTTTTATAGCATGCGTTCAGAGAAGTAGTCAAGAAATTATTACCCACCGTCTTGTTCCTTTCAGTTAGTGAATTTCGCAGGATATTGGAAAAATATCTTTCTGAGCACGCTGAACATTTCATAGAAAGTATCAGTAGAAATTGTTGGATTTTCATGTTCGAAGATAAGCTATTGTGAGAAGTAAGTTAAAATCTGAAAAATCTTAAACAACTAAAGAAGTTCAATGATTTTAATAATTTTTATTTTATAATCTTCATAAATCAAGCTTAAATTCTTTGGATAATCTTCCGCTCTAACTTTCTTTATATTTCAAATCAAAACAAATGTCATAGTAAATGAAATGACATCGCGTCAAGTATTCGCCATGTGATGTTCGTTAACCTCAGCGAAAAATTGGATTATATTAATAATAATGCATTAGCAGCGCAAATCATTGAATAAAAATCTAGCGAGAGAACAAAGGTCGCTTATAAAGCGCTTTATACAGAAAGTGCATTACTAATGAGAGTAGGCTATTTGGTCTTTAAGCAATATAAAAACAAGAAACTTCTGATAATACATTGCGCCTATATTTTCACTATTTGCGATATCCTCCTAAATCCAAAAAGCCTTGGAATAAAATGTAACAATAAATTCATGATCAAATGAGTCAATGCCTTTCTGGTAAATATATTCGCAGTATTTCAAATATTTGCTAATATTGACTTCAAAATTATTTATTAAACAGCGCGCTATCAAAAATGATGAGACTGTTACTTCTGAGATCATGGAATAGATAGCTGATGAGAAAGCTGAAGCTATGGATACATGTAAAAAGTGAAAAGAAATATCACAAATTAGTAGAAGCGAAGCAGCAGTAGATGATGACGATGACTATTACAACTTGGTAAGCTAAAATTTATCAATATATCACCACACTTTTAATTAATTTAAAAAATTAACAAAGTTCTTATATTTGTAGATTGCTGGGTTGGATCAAAATTTCTAGGTTTTATTAGTTTTTTAGTTTTTTAAATATATTTTAAATTGCGTAAAATATTAATAAGTAAATTCTATAAAAATCTGCATAAAATTTTATAAATAAAATGTTGTTATGATTTTCTCCATATAATTTTGTGTATAACTTTATAAATTGAAAATTTGTTGTGAATTTTTCTATAAAATTCTGCGAATAACTTTATAACTTGAAAAATTGTTACAATATTTTCTATAAAATTCTGCATATAATTCTAACAACCTGAAAACCCATGCAGAAATCATAATTTTTTTATTTGAAGTTTAATGACATGTCTTAAGATCTGCACCAGGTGAATCAATATGCAGATCTGCATAGATCTGCACCTCAAAATTTTTGCCAATATAAGATAAGACAGATTACCTTTCTTTTTTATCTTAATATGATGAATGTGGCTTCAAGGTATAAAGTATCTATTCCTATTGGTATATTAGTGTCAAGGATAGAAAAAGCATCTTAATTTCAAAACTATTGCTTGAGCTCTTGAGAAAATCTATGATAACCTAAGTGTTTTCTTGTCTAGCCAAATTGCTAATTATTGATAAAGGTTCTAAATTTAAGGGTAAATGTGAGAAGTTGCTAAAAGAATATAATTTCAGAAGACTAAGTCTAAGCCAACTGTTAGCATTGTTGAAAGATATAACAGAATTTTAACTGAAAATTTGTTTTATCCAGAATGCTTCTGATCTCTTAACTTTGTATTTAAATAAACAATTCTGAGTTTGGGTAAAGAATTTGCCTATAGTTGTTAAGGATATTAATAATTCTATTACATGTCAACTTGGTATTTCTCCTGCTGATGCAATAAAAAGAAAAGGTGTAAAGTATAAGCCTTCTAAACCTCGTAATGGTCCTATAGGATATGATGAAAAGCAATTATCCTATAATAATCTTATAAGATATATACTTAAACCTGATGAGTTAGAGGATTGTGGGAGAAGACGTATTGGAGATATGAATTGGTCTTCCAAAGTTTATCATATTCAGAAATCTTTAGTACAAAAATCAGCCAGTCTTATACTAGCTAGAAAATAATGAATGCTGTAGTCCTGAAAGATCTTTTGTAAGAGAAGAACTTCAAATTATTCCTTCTGATACTGAATTATCACCTCAGTAGGTGCTTAATAATTAAGAAAGTCTTTTGTCTTTTCATTAACTTGTGTTTCAGTAAAGAAATGATTTTTGGCTAATTTATAGTATAATTTATATAGATCTATTACAGTATTAAGAATTTTCAGATCTTTTCTATACTAAGATTTATAGTCATTCATAATACTATGATATTTATCCTTATCTGAAAACAATCTTTTTACATTTTCTAGAATATATGTATCGTCTGCTTGGCATAATTTTTTACCTGCTATTTATAACTTTGTATGAATTTATCATTCTTTGGAATAATAATTTAATTGTTCTTTTAAAATGATTCTTTCATCATTTTATTAGAATGATTCTTCTATTATTCCTTTAGAACAATGCATTATTATTCTATCAGAATGATTTTATTTGACATCTATATTCAATGAGAGATATTGGTCAATAAGTATGTGTTATTTAGTGGTATTAGTGAAGCTTCAGACATTATAGAAGGCAAATGAAAGAAATGAAAAAGAGGTAAAATTTGTATGATTTCTAATACTATTTGATACATCTTGTACATTGTTATTAGTAGAGACAGTATTCATTAAAAAATTAATATTGGGCTTTCTATAATATATTCCTGCTTTGACTACATTTATTAATGCCTGCTCAACTTCCTGAAAGGTTGGCTTTGCTTCAGATAATTGAATTTGTATACTCATTATGAAAGTGTATGTATTATTATATTGTGTAAAGATTTGTTTAATTAAAATTATTTATATATTTAGAAAAATGAAAGCAGATTCTATTTGTGATTATCTTCATAATTTTGGTAGACTTGTGGTAAAGCCTATACTCAATCTGAAGGTTATTGATTGCATTAT